TCATGCAATTCATTTAGAAAGTCGTGATATTTGACTGCTTTGTAAACAGTGATCTATTCATGGTAAATTTGTCGTAATTGTCCTATAACTATTTAATTACTTACGGAACATCATTGATACTTGGCAACATGTTGCAGACACTTACAAGGTTTGTATAAACGTGAAAATCTAGACCCCAAAGTGCATACTTTAAGAACTAAGACCTGATAAGCGTATTTTACGTTTATATTTTTATCTTGTAAACCCTACGATTTTTTCTAAATCTGTTTTTTAAACAAATATAAACAAATTCAAAACAACGTGTGTAAAAATCTACAGCTCTCTATGTAAGCGCTTTATATGAAAACTAGCTAATGGCCAAACGTTCGCGTAGCGGAAACTTGAATTTCTCCGAAGTTTATGCATGCACTAGTTTTATTCATACATACACAATTACACACAAATACACACTAATTTTTGGATACATCTCTTTTCCTCTAAAGTCTATGGATTAAAAAAAGTTCCGCCAGGACAACGTTCGCCCAGCGGAATCAGTTTTTGGTGAATTTCTCCACAATGGTTGCGTGCACAAATTTTTTTTTACCGTACACAATTATACGACGTCATACACTAAATATCTGCATAATTAAAATCTTTAAATTCAACAACATTCCGCTGCGCGAACGCACGCGGGGGTTGCGGATATAAGGATTGGGAAGGGGAGGGATTGGGCCTCCGGTAACCTCACTCACACGGCGAAACACAACGCTGTGGGTTGTTTCACGCCGGTATTCTGTGAGGCCGTGGTATCACTCCGGTCGAGCCGACCCATTCGTGCCGAAGCTTGGCTCTCCCACACCTATGATGTATTAATGTATTTTTTCACGATAACGGCTGGACATATTTGCTTGAAATTTGGTTGCTGGCTGCTTTTGATCAACATAGGTACCAAGCACTCGGGTGAAACACAAGAATTACAGATTTTTATAGAATAGGAGGCAAACGAGCAGACGGTTCACCTGATGGTGAGTGACCAGCGACGCCCATTGACACTTGTAACACAAGACGAGTCACAAGCGCGTTGCCGGCCTTTTTTTTTAATGTAATAAGTCGGCAAACGAGCAGACGGATTACCTGATGGTAAGTAATCAACGCCGCCCATGGACACCCGCAACGGAGGAGTTACGAGTGCGTTGCCGACCTTTTAGGGATTAGGGATTTGGAGATTTAGGGATTGGGGAAGGGGAAGGATTGGGCCTCCGGTAACCTCACTCACACGGCGAAACCAACGCTGTGGTTGTGTCACGTCGGTTTTCTATGATTCCGTGGTATCACTCCGGACGAGCCGACCCATTCGTGCTGAAGCATGGCTCTCCCACACTTAAACTTTCCTTCCACTCGGTCTTTTAAAATGGGTATGCTCGTTTCTCGAAGATGCCGAAGAGCCGGCCTCTTGTGGGTTATTAGGGATTTGAAGATTGAGGATGAGGGAAGGAAGGATTGGACCTCCGGTCACTTCACTCACACGCCGAAACAACGCTGTGGTTATTACACGCCGGTTTTCTGTGAGGCCGTGGTACCGAAAATTCGAAATATAAAGAAAATAAAACACAAAAATAACCAAACAAAATATTTAATGCCCTTTTTTAAACACACAATCTCAATTACAAGAACTCATTAGGTAACTGTGCTTATAATAAATACCTAATATATTATCTATACAGGGTGTAAAAAGACACTTAACGAAGCCGTTAACTACGCTTACTGCAGTTCTAACTAAGTAGCTTTACGCTAAAATTATCACTGGGAAACTACTTTTATTTTTAGGTATCAAAAAAATAATAATTTTATTGCGCGCAATGTAAAGCAAACGGGCTTCGTGTCTTTGTGTGCGTAGGTTCACAGCTTAGCATGAAAACGCTGTGATAAGTACGTAACGTAGGTCGCCGTTTTACTTCGCAACAACAAAACAATTCTGTAAAATAAAAATCCTACTGAGATGCACGATGATTTTATGTGCGGGTCTGCATTTATTTATTACGTACATTACTGTTCGTAACTTCAAATGCGTAATTTATTTTGAAAAATCGAAAATTCAGGTAATGTTTGTTTGGAAAAAAGTTTTGTAATAATACTTAGAATTCGATTGCGCAAAAAAAAAAATTAAAATACATCTTTGACCTTCAATATCTCGAGAACCCATGGAGTCCCAGCTATGGTCTTAAATAAAAAAATAATCCAAATAATGGGTAGAATACGTGGCTTTCGGCTTCGTTAAGTGTCTTTTTACACCCTGTATAATAGTCGAATTTACTTGAAACATAAATATAAAACATAATTAGGGAGGCCTATGTCCAGCAGTGGACGGAATCGGGCTGATGATGATGACATTTTTTATCCTATACATATTAAAATTCAAAAATATTCTCATTTCTTTCCGCTAAATCACATTAAGGCGAATAAAATACCATTTTATTTAAGATAAAAATCATCAAATTAATTATCCCGTCATGGATATGAAAAGGGGGAGTGTCAGACTCTTACCCCCGGTTTCCGAAAGGCCGATCAATGTTAAAATCAATTTAATCTCTTGTCAAGTCATCTGATTCGTTGACTGAATTATGAACAACCAATCAGATGACTTGACAAGATATTTAACAGGAGATTAGTTAATTTTAGCATTGACAAATCTTTCAGAAACCTGGTGTTACTGACTAAAAACCAAGTCGGCATTCCCAATTAAATTTTCTTCTGAAAAATATCAGTAATACTTTGCATATCCCTAACATTTAAGACTCAACTAATCCTCATCTTTCCACACACCAAGACAACCAATTAATAAAATCTATACTTCTATACTAATATTATAAAGAGGTAAAATTTGTAAGTTTGTATGTAGGGTGTAATCTTTAGAACCGCTGGTCGGATTTTCAAAATTCTTTCACTGATAGATAGCTACAATGTTCCTGAGTGCTATAGGCTATAAATTATACTTGATTTACGTCAAGCTATCGCTTTAAACTTTATATAACATTCATTGCTAAACCAAAAAATATTTTAAATAACTTAAGTATGTATGGAAAAGTATATGGGATTATATTACTAAACTCATATTTAAGGTTCAAAACACTTTATATTCAATTCAAACATCAACATTTTACAGCATTTTTCAGACTTACAAACAGACTATTTATAATACTATATGTATATACAATATAATATGTTTGATAAACTATCCGATTCACAAAACTGATTGAAAAGAGTAACCATGGAGTTTCTTGCTCGTTCTTCTCCATCGGAATCTACACTTTGGAACGAGCAAATAGCTTCACTAGAGGACAGACAGATATACCGAGATTTGATATGCAAAAGTGACTTTTAATACAAGTAACATACGAGTTAGACTCGCCCATAGAGGTTTTTATACATAAATATATAATTTATCAACATTGCACTAAATACAAACTTAACTTTGCCGTCCAATCCTTAGACACGAGTATTGCACAAACCGCAAATAATAACTTTGTTATTATAAATTAGTTTTCTTTAAATTCTAAGGCACTGTAGTACATTTAATAGTTTTTATTTGTCTAAAACTAAGAAAAACATTGTTTATATATGGCAAAAACACCAGATTTGTAATAAAATATCTTTTTTTTTTTGGACCCGAGAACATATATCACTACATAGTATATAACAAAGTCGCTTTCTCTATCCCTATGTATGCTTAAATCTTTAAAACTACGCAACGGATTTTGATGCAGTTTTTTTTAATAGATAGAGTGATTGAAGAGGAATGTTTATATGTATGTATAATAACAATTTAAAGAAATTAAGTATCTGTATATATTATATATTTTTAAAAGTAGATGCGGGTCGATAGTATTTTTATTATAAATATATTCTAAAAATCGGATATTTACTTCGAAACATATTACATAATATAACACAATTAAAGGCAGGATTGGTGATATTTTTTTAAGGACCGTCTCGTAGATTATTTAAGAATATCAGACACATAATTCTTTTCAACTCTTCAATACCTTTTTCTTTTGAAATACTTTTTGAAGGCACAATGAGGGTTTTGGACACTATTTCTGCCGCTAGATGGCGCTTCGTATGAGTTAGGTCCAAACAGCTGCGTGGAATAGTGACTTCCTGTGGATTTTTAGTCTAAAAACTCCTATTCTGCGTCCTTTCTCGAGTTCCAAACTATTTCCGTACCAAATTTCATACAAATAGGTTCAGTAGTATAGGCGTGAAGAAAAGACAGACAGACAGAGTTACTATAGCATTTATAATATCAGTTTGGATTACGTACGGCCAAAATAATTTACCGAATTAAAGATTGAGTAAAAAAAGAAAACCTATCCGGTTTATTTGCAAAGAAACCAAAAAAAAAATCAAAACATATAATCGGGTGTTATGACAGGTTGGACCTAACGCTACAGAGCTGCCATCTCTGAACATTTCAGAATTCCCTCATTTAGTACATTCATTTTATATTGAGCACTCCTAAAATATCAAGTACTGTTTTCTTACAAAAAAAAAAAAACATGTCTAATATAATTTTATAATCCAACAGACGGTCTGTAATTATGATACCCTGACATCATCCGTATATAAATTTAATTAAGAGCTGATTTTTCAATGGTTAGATAAAAGTTACCTGGGGAATAATTGGGTAGTTTCCAAGGTCAACAATAAATTAATTCGATGTTTTAATACGATAAAATATTGAAAAATAACTATACTTTTATTCATCGATATATCGATACACTAATAGTTTTAGATATTTTTTAACTAATTTTTTAAAAATAAGTAAAATATTTGACGCAAATATGCTATGACGTCATAATTCAATTTTTCATACAATTTTCATAGAAAAGTATCGTTTTTGACATTTGGATAAAAGTATTGAATTTGACTAGTTGGAAACAACCGTATTATGATGCTGTCGCGTCAGAATGTCTGTATAAGACAGTGACAGCAACAATTTTATTACTCGGATAACATTTATCTGACTATTGAAAATCAGCCCTAAATAATATATAATACAAAATTATAGCTCATCTTTCTCCGCTGGAATATCGAAGTCATCGCTTTGGGCTTGGACATCGTCATCGTAGTCTTCGCTCACGTCCGGCATTGATGTCTGTGGGGGGAGACCACCGAAACCATATGGGTCTGGTCCGTGAACCTGGAAATATGGGTAAATTTATATGTAATTAAGTGTGGGAGAGCCATGCTTCGGCATTAATGGGTCGGCTCGAACGGAGTGATACCACGGTATCATAGAAAGTCAACGTGAAACAACTACAGCGTTGTATTTCGCCGTGTGACTGAGGTTACCAGAAGCCCAATCTTTCCCCTCCCCCAATCTCAAAACCCCTCATCTTCAAGAGGTATTCATGGGCGGCGCTGATTGCTTACCATCAGTTAATCCGTCTACTGCTAAAATGAGTTCTCTATACCAGGTTTGTTTATTAAGTTTGTATGTAGGCGGTAATCTTTGGAACCGCTGGTCGGATTGCCAAAATTCTTTCACTGATAAGCTAGTTTTGAATAAGTTCGTTGTCAATATAGGATTTACAGTTAAAATCTATACTTCTATACTATTATTATAAAGAGGTAATATTTGTAAGTTTGTATGTAGGGGGTAATATTTGGAACCGCTGGTTGGATTGCCAAAATTCTTTCAGTGATTGATAGCTACAGCTACAATGTTCCTGAGTGCTATAAGCTATAAAACATCACGCTACGATCAAATAGAGCTGAGTAGCGGGTGAAACCTCGCGACAGTAGCTAGCAAGCTATAAATCGGCAATCCGCCTTGAGCAAGCGTGGTGGTTAATGCTCAAATCTTCTCCGTGTGAGAAGAGGTGGGGGAGGGGATGGTTAAAAAGCCTTACCTTGACGTATTCAGCTTCCATCTCGTGTGTCCAGGTTGTATCTTCTTCAGTGGGCAGCATCCATTCCTCACAGTATTGAGCGTGATTGAAGCAGATCTGAAATTGTATTATAAAACCTATTATAACATGTACCAAAGCTTAATGTATGGGAGAGCCATGTTCTAAAACAAATGGGTCAGCTCGACCGGAGTGATACCACGGCCTCACAGAAAACCGGCGTAAAGTAACACGCACTTGACTGCACGGTTGGCATCGTGTCGCGGGTCCGATTCCCGCACGGAACAACTCTTTGTGTGATTCACAAATTGTTGTTCCGTGAGTCTGCGTGTGATGTGTATGTGAAATTGTATGTTTGTAAACGCACACACGACACAGGAGAAAATATTAGTGCGGGGCAACGTTTTTTTTTTTTAAAAACCCTTACGTTCTGTGTCGCCGTGTGAATGAGGTTCATCTAGTGTTTTACATATAATTTGACGTGTAAATAAAAATGCCGTTTTATGGCCAATTTGCAAATATTAATTCATTATTGTTTCATTGTTTCCCCTTCGCATCCTCAACAAACCTATCCCTATCTTTAAATCCCTTATAACCCGCAATCCACGCGACAACGTACTCGTAGTAACTCCCGTCTATGGGCGGCGCTGATTGCTTACCATCAGGTAATCCGTCTGCTCATTTGACAAACTATGACATAAATCCAAATTTATCCTGTCTAGCTATCACAGTTCACAATATACCTACAGACCCTTAATGATACACAGACGGGCAGACAGACAGAAAAGTGTTAGTAGGGTTAAAATTTTTAGCCTACGCGTGACGGATCTATCTTCTTCACCCCCCAGCCGCCGCAGCAGGCGACACTCAGAGCGTCGGAGAACAGTAGGCCTAAAATGACGTTTCGGGCGAGAAAGAGGGATGGAGCTATAAAAGGTGTATAGCTCCATCCCTCTTTCTCGCCCGGAAGATTCACGCTTTAACAAGTCATGGTAGGCCCTCAGAACTGTAAAATTCGGATTCATTCAAAAAAAAAAAAGAAACAAATGTTAATAATACATGTATAACTAGCTTTTGCCCGCGACTCCGTTCGCGTGGAATAGTGTCTTCCTGCAGACATTTACTTTCGCATTTAATTTTATAATATAAGTATAGATAGTATAGATTAGTATAGATAGAATAAGCTATATAAACCTACTTAAAATTGTAAACATATATATGTATAAATACTAGTCCTCCTCATAAAATATTAAATATTGTTATGCCCGACAGGGCCCACAATGCTCTTAAACTAATATATGTAAATCCTTATGTACCCTACCACCTAAGTTCACATTGTGGAATGCAATAAATATATTGAATTGAATTGAATATTATTTTACTATATTTTATTTTTATTTTATTTTGATGTCCTGTTATTCAAACTTTTTATTGTATTTTTTTGTTTTGTTCTTGGCCTTCATGTCTCATTCTGAATAAAAACAGTTTTCTTTCTTTTTCTTTCTTATTAAATCAGAAGAATGTACTGCTAACCTCTCTCTCGGCATCAGGCATGATGTCGTCGTCTGGCCTGTTCTTGTACAGCGACGTGATCTCGTCTTCATTCTCCTCAAACATACGCTCACACTACAAATTAAAAAAAAACATAATTATTATTAACATGAGCCGGGCAAGCTAAATCTCAAGTGTGGGAGAGCCATGATTCGGCACGAATGGGTCGGCTCGACCGGAGTGATACCACGGCCTCACAGAAAACCGGCGTGAAACAACCACAGCGTTGTGTTTCGCCGTGTGAGTGAGGTTACCGGAGGCCCAATCCTTCCCCTTCCCCAATCCCTCTTAAATCCCTAAATCTCGAAATCCATAATTCCTAAACGGTCGGCAACGCACTCGTAACTCCTCTGTTGCGGGTGTCCATGGGCGGCACTGATTGCTTACCATCAGGTAATCCGTCTGCTCGTTTGCCGACCAATTACATAAAAAAAAACTATACTTATCTATCGTAATATTATAAAGAGGTAAAATTTGTAAGTTTATATGTAGGGGGTAATCTTTGAAACCACTGGTGGAAATCCCGAAATTCTTTCACTTATTGATAGCTACAATGTTGCCGAGTGCTATAGGCTATAAAACATCACGCTACAATCAAATGGAGCCGAGCAGCGAGTGAAACCGCGCGGGAGTAGCTAGTAGTACCTAATTGGATAGTTTCCTAGGTCAAAAATAAATTAATTGGACGTTTCAATACAATAAAATATTTAAAAATAATTATACTTTTATTCATCGATCGGTCGATACATTAAATTTCAGATATTTAGTAGCTAATTTTTAAGAAATAAGTAAGCTATTTGACGCAAAAATACTATGATGTCATAATTTGGAGTTTCATATAAAGGTAAAATTTTTAACATTTGGATAAAATTATTGAATTTGATTAGTTGAAAACTACCGTAATAAAGAAATCATGATATAATATTATACATAGTCTGGCCATAAATACTGTTACAATTAAAAATAAACAAAATTTTACATTTGAATTTGGAATCTGACATTTTTATATAATTTTTCATTGTGTTTTCTTATTTTGGCGCCAATAAATAGTTCAATATTTTGCGATATTAAAATGGAGTGGGGTGATAAAGAGAACCGAATCGCTGTGATTGCATTACACAAAGTGGGTATGGAGCCAAATGCAATATTTAAAACTCTCTACACGCTTGGCTTTAGTCAAATGTTTGTGTACCGGGCTATTAATAGGTACAATGAGACCTCCTCTGTTTGTGACAGAAAAAGATCTGGCCGTCCACGTAGTGTTTTTACTAAAAAGGTGGTCAAAGCAGTAAGGGAAAGAATTCGAAGAAATCCTGTCCGAAAGCAAAAGATTTTATCTCGGGAGATGAAGATAGCACCTAGAACCATGTCGCGTATTTTAAAAGACGACTTAGGACTTGCAGCCTATAAGAAACGCACTGGACATTTTTTAAATGATAATTTAAAAAAGAATATGGTGATAAAATCTAAACAACTACTGAAGCGGTACGCAAAGGGAGGTCACAGAAAAATTTTGTTTACGGATGAGATTTTTTTTACAATTGAGCAACATTTTAACAAACAAAATGACCGTATTTATGCTCAAAGCTCTAAGGAAGCTTCTCCATTAGTCGACAGAGTGCAACGTGGGCATTATCCGACTTCAGTGATGGTTTGGTGGGGTGTTAGCTATGAAGGAGTGACTGAGCCATACTTTTGCGAAAAAGGTATCAAAACATCGGCACAAGTGTATCAAAATACCATTCTTGAGAAGGTAGTTAAGCCCCTTAACAAAACCATGTTCAATAACCAACAATGGTCCTTCCAGCAAGACTCGGCGCCGGGTCATAAAGCTCGGTCCAGGCAGTCTTGGTTGGAAACGAACGTTTCCGACTTCATCAGAGCTGAAGACTGGCTGTCGTCTAGTCCCGATCTTAATCCACTGGATTATGATTTATGGTCAGTTTTAGAGAGTACGGCTTGCTCGAAACGTCATGATAATTTGGACTCCCTAAAACAATCCATGCCATTGGCAGTGAAGAATTTTCCCATGGAAAGAGTGCGTGCTTCTATTGATAACTGGCCTCAACGTTTAAAGGACTGTATTGCAGCCAATGGAGACCACTTCGAATAAGCTTTTTATGTTTTAAATTGTTCTATATTTATGTATTAAACTTGCATACTGTAAAAGTAATAAATGTTATTTGCAATAGAAAAAATATTTTTTTTATTTGTTACAGTATTTATGGCTAGACTAGGTATATTATACATAATATGTAAGTAGCCTTTTTAACGACTCGACCGTAACAGACAGACAGACAGGGGTCTGTCTGTCTGTTGATGTTGTTACTTTCGCATTTATAATATTAGTTTGGTTTGCACAGTCTCGGTAAAAAACTGAAAGACTTGCAATTTTGGATATGTTTTGAAAGCCTCCAAAAATATACTTATAACATACAAATTGACTTACATAGTACTCCAAACTCTTGTTCAGGTCATCATCAGTAACGAACTTGGTTTTGGAGAAGTCAGGGTTCATTCCGCCGTCCTTCGTGATCAGCTGCATGATGGCCAACTTGTTGGTGGCCTTGTAATAAACTCGGACGTAATCGTCCATTTTTTTACCTGGAATTTCAAATTCAAATATGTTTATCACTACATAGTATAAAACAAAGTCGCTTTCTCTGTCCCTATATCCCTATGTATGCTTAAATCTTTAAAACTACGCAACGGATTTTGATGCGGTTTTTTAAAAGATAGAGTGATTGAAGAGGAAGGGTTATATGTATAATAACATCCATTAAATAGTGCAGAAATTTAGTATCTGCGATACGGACGGCCGATGGGCCCGAAAAGTGCTAGAGTGGCGACCAAGGACCGGAAAACGTAGCGTAGGCAGGCCTCCCGCTAGGTGGACCGACGACATCGACAGAGTCACGGGGAGCCAATAGATGTAAGTGGCAACTTGTCGTTCGACGTGGAGGGCCAAGGTGGCCTTTGTCCAGCAGTGGACGCTTTCCGGCGGATGGATGGCAGGAAGATAAAGAGTACTTACAGATTTCATCAATCAGTTCGGAGATGTACACAGCTGAGCGATGAGCTGGTACCTTCTCCTGCATCGTGTTGCCGCTGGCATCCATCCTGAAGTTTCCTACCTGGAAGTATAAGATTTTTTATGGAAATAAAGTTGATATTTATATAATACCAGCTTTTTCTATGTAAATCGCCCAGCATTCGCGACCCGAAGGTGCATAAGTTTGTTGCATTTTATGTTGTTTTTATAAAATGGGCATCTAAGACTGGAAATTGTGTTATATGTAAGTTTTTAACGGGCTGCCAGATCACCTGATGGTAAGCAATCTGCGTTGCGTTGCGCGCGCAAAAGGAGGAAGAGGAGTAAAAAGTAGGTTTGGGGATGGCTTTAAGTGTGGGAGAGCCATGCTTCCGCACGAATGGGCCTGCTCGACCGGAGTGATATCACCCACAGTATCCACTTTTAAGTGTGACTAACCACACTAAAATATCAAATGTTGTGGTGGCCATGGATTCGAAACCTGGCAAGTACCAATATGACTTTTTCCGAGTTATATGTACTATCTTTAATTATTTAGACACCACTGACATACGGTGAAGAAAAACATCGTAAGAAAACTTGACTTAGGATTTATTATTATTAGTTTGAAATGCCAATCCGCATTGAGCAAGCGTGGCATTAAAGCCCAAACCTTCTCCGTGTGAGAAGAGGCCTTTGCTCAGCAGTGGGCACTTATGGGCTGATGTTGTGACCAGCTTTTACCCATCATTTGACTACCTGCACTACTAAATTACTTAACCTCCTACCTACCTACCATACCTACCCTACCTAATTTAACTGCAGGGCACAGCTATGTAGTTTAACCGGGGTTGCGGGGTAAGCGCAATGAGGCACCGCGACCTCGGCCCAGAGCAGGAGAAGGAACAGGGGGTTTTTAGTCAGTAAGAGTCTGACACTCCCTCCCGCCCGGCCCTGGGCGGGAGAAGTCATTTGATGATTTTCCCCTCACAAAAAAAAGCTGTGTAGTTTAATATACATATATTTACTAGGATAAATAAATGAGTATGTTAATAGATTAGATGTAGCTTATCTCCTAAGCTGGAAAATATTGATTTCATTTATCATTACTCATTATCTTTACTTGGACAAAGTAGTGGGTTTTCCGTTGAAAAAATAATTTATTTTAGTGCCTAGGTATTATAAATATGTATGAATGAAATGTACATTTTTTTAGGTTTTTAGAAATCAACTTCTCTTTTTAATGTTAAAAAATGGATTGCCAAATGTTTTGGGTTGCGTATAAGATGTGGACTGCAGAACCGTTACCTAACATTACGATACCTAATTTTTTTTTTTATATTTGGATTTTCGATAATACTTATTTTTTTTAATACTTGTGGTTTTGGAAGTATGAGACTGGTTCCTGAATACACTTAAAACTCAATATATGATACTGTTAATAAGTATGTACTCTTTTACATAAAAATAACTAATGGATGTTAATGAAATTAGGCATAGTGATAATTATATTTTATGATTTTTTTATTTTTGTTATGAGTGAAGTTGCCATGAAGCCATGAGTATTTTTGTATTTGAATAAATATTAGTGATAAACTGTTCTCACATAATTAAACCAACTGTTTGTAAAAGGGTTCTGTATGTGAAACTGATTTAAAATGAGTAACCATGGAGTTTCTTGCTCGTTCTTCTCCATCGGAATCTACACTTTGGAACGAGCAAATAGCTTCACTAAGAGGACTGACCGACAGACTGACACTGTATCTTCAAAATTTTGTTTGACGTTCAAAAGTGCCTGTAAAGGTCTAATTGGAATAAACGATTTTTTACTTTGACTTTAGTATAAATGTGGATGGATGGAGAGGGAGAGGGAGACCAAAGAAAATATGGATGGATTGTGTGAGAAGTGATATGGAAGACAGAGAAGTTAGCGATAGCGTGACGGGTGACAGGATAGAATGGAAGAAAAAAACATATTGCGCCAACGCCAAATAAAACGGGACAAGGGCAGGAAGATGATGATGATGTTATGAGTGAAGTTGCTAGTAGAAGATTGTTTTTTAATATTACCTTAAATATAGATAAGACCTACCTACTGGATACACAGAAGGGATGAATAGATGTAGGCAAATTTTCCTAAAACCTATTTGCCCCAGTTACATTTATTAAAATCTAGAACTGCACTATATGGGAACAGTATCTTTGCAATGGCTCCAAAAATTTATAATAAACTGCCTAAATGTATAAAAGACGAAAATAATATTCGACTTTTTAAACGAAAACTGACATTATTTTTAATTGAGAAGACATATTATTCTATTGACCTATTTTTAAATGATAAATTTTGATATACTATAATGATTCTTTTATACTTATTTAAATTTATTAATAAGCTTGCTACTTGCCCAACTTAAAAACTATTTGTACACCAATTTTATTGGTAGAACATGGAGATGCTATTAATGTATATTTTAACATGCTTATGTATTATCTGTGTTCACAAATAAATTGATTTGTTTTGATTTGAATTTTATTCTGCTGTCTAAAAACTGAGTTATCATAAAAAGTACTTAAAATTATTGCAATGCTGTTTCGTTTGTAGCGCCTACTTGAATAATGATAACAAAATAAATGCTTGTGGAGTGTGAAGAGCCTAAGTAACTCCATGTATGCATGGAATAAAAGTTTTTAAAACTCATCCTTATTACCACATCAACAGGAGACTAATGTTTTACAGTACGGCCGACATATCTTGGCGAGTCTGAAGTTAGCCGTTTGTCTGCGCAATGGCTCTTTTAGGAACAAAATTGTGTACTGCGCAGCTACTCGGCTACCTTTAGACTCACCAACGGCCGTATTATAGTTGCAATCAAAGGCTTAGACCACAAAGTAGACAGGAGGACACAAGGGTGAAAAGTTCAGCTGGGGTTGCAGGGCAAGTGTAATGAGGCATTGCGGCCTCAGCCTAGAAGTAGGTTATATTTATTCCAGACTATAATCTAGGTTTTTTTTAGAAAACTCTTGCCTAAGGTGAGGTGAGAGGGAGTGTCAGATAAAAATGAATAATGAATAAAACCCACCCTGTTCCTTCTCTGTAGTATATACTGTATGTAGTCCTATTAGAACTTTTTTTTATGGAATAGTTGGCAAATGAGCTGACGGATCACCTGATGGTAAGCGATCGGCGCCGCCCATGGACATCCGCAACACCAGAGGAGTCACAGGTGCGTTGCCGGTCTTTTAAGAAGGAATATGCTCGTTTCTTGAAGGTTTGAAGGTCGTATCGGTTCGGGAATACCGCCGCCGGAAGATCATTCCAAAGTTTTGCTGTGCCGGGCATGAAGTTTCGAACTACTTTTTAGAACTACCTTCTTGTGCTTGATCCACAATCCCGGTAACTATCTAATCTATCTCAGTGCCAATTTTCATTCACAACTATAGGTACAAGCATTCGCATTTAAACATATTCAGTGTTTAAAAGTTTTTTATGTATGGTCTTTGTAATTATGGAAAGAATTATTTGGGTTATACCTTGGGGGGAAATTGACAGATTTTTACTGACTAAAAACCACCCTGTTCCAACTTCTGCTATGGGCCAGGCTGTGATATATCATTGACCTTACCCAAAAGCGCCATAACAGTTTTACTAATCTTAAAATACTTATAGAATAACTTTTTAATTCAGTGGACTTAGATATTGACTACGGTTTTACTTTTTTCAATTAAAAAGTAGTCATTGATTTCTTTGAAGGAATGTAATTGAGTTTTACAAATAAAAAAGTTGTTTTATTATTTTACACAGTCATAAAACTTTACTCTCAATGGTTACATGCCATTTTAAGTTATCAAATAACTAAGATCAATCAGGAAATTGTTGAAATCAATAGTAATAAAACTTTGAAAAGAAATAAATCTATTAAAAATGTAATAGTTAACCAGTACTTACATCGACTTTTTTCCATTTATCTACTTTTTTTATCACATCGTTAAGCTCCTCGAAGGTCGTCCGGCATACTGAAATATTAACGATAGTATCAATTAAATCCACAAGTTATTAAAAAAACAATATATTATATACCTACTATTTGAAAAATACACACCCAGGCACTTCAAGTTTTTAGGGTCTATCCGCGCTGATACAGCGACTAATAAAATTGTGAAGGCAAAAAAGGCAACAGCTGAACGCATTTTTAATCACTTATTAACAAATTAACACGAATTTAGTGTTTAAATTACGAGAAAATCTAGATAAATGTCGGGAAATTCTCAATACGTGTTGGTAGAAGTTTATCTTTTTCTGTCATCCACGATGTCTAATCTCATTGGTCGACAAGTCAACATTTTTTTTTTAATGCTAAACTGTATTTTGATTGGTTACAACATGACAGCAAAAACCCTACTTATTAAAGTAGTTCATTTTATCAAAAAGCACAGCTGATAATCAATAAGTCATTACAATTGGTAGGGTTATCTTATTATTTTTAATGAACCTTCACTGTTTTAATCCTTAGATCATGTCATAACATCAAATCTGAATAATAAAAATAATTATATTATAACACGTACCTATTATGTAATATTATCAATAAACAAATATACCATTGTGTTTTTTCGGTTGACAACATTAAAACAATAAATCATTATGTTTTTGCCTCTACTGTGTTAGTGGCTTGAAACAGGAAAACATCAATGTCAAGATAATCACCATTCAATATTTTATCAAAAAAACTATTTTATTCCTAAATGCAACAACTCCAAAAATCATTTAGTAATTTTCAAATAGTATCTTGTGATTATTATTATAAAGTACGCTGTTTTAAAATTATTAAACTCGTGCCCTTTCTGTCTCCCTCGATCGCCCGTTCTCCGGTTATCCGCCCGCCGCCCGCCGCCCGCCGTCCCCCACCTATCAACGGACCCAACCAAACCAAACTAACCAACAGTTCGCATTCGGTCTCTATGCGCGCCGGACGATTGCTCAACGGCATGTATAATTTTTTTATGCACATCAAATTGTTTAAAAACCTTAAAATACCTTGAATATTGTTGTTGCATCGTCTCAGAGTGACGTTCCAGTGAGTTTTTGTGAAGAAATACGTACTTTTCGTGTAAAAATCGAGGTAAGTGACTGGTTGACAGATTGCGTCTTTTACTATTTAGAGCTTATTATCAATTTTTTTTAGTTGATTTTCATTGCTTTCTTATATTTAGATAGATATTAGATAGCAAAATAATAGTATGATGGACATTGCCATATTGCCTGTTACGACTTGTTCGTCGCACCTGTGCCATTGCCATACGCTACTCGCTAGGTCCGATATAGTATTGCATATTTTATGTAACCTTTAAAAAAAATCATCTTATCATTCGACTGCGTCATGTGCAGTTAGAAAATCCCAATTTCATAATGAGAGAGCGCGCGATCGCACAAGCTGACGACTTGGCAACGCGCTGCCATCCGATAAAAACTTGTTAAAAAGTTAATTTATCAAACAAAAAATGTGTTATTTTCCGTGGACCGGCGTTTCCCTTTGTTTTCCGTGTGAAATCGTCCCTTTGTCCTTCGGTAGGGCGCGCTGGGCGCGTCGCTGCACAGGAATTTCGACTCTAGAAAAGTGGCATAATACAATGATGGTATACATTGGTAGGTCGCGCAGCTCGTCGCCCGCTCGCGTCGTTTTCACAACGCCTGTGTTCGTGCGTATCTACGTGGACGACGTCAGTGTGCTCGTGCGGTAGTTTGTTTATAGTCACTACCGCACAAATACGACGTCTATTATTATAGCAGCAAGGCTCAGTATCGTATGTAGGTCGGCGTCCTCGTCGGTGTTTGTCTATCGATCTCTGCGGTGGCCAATGGCACATGTCGGCGCGGTCCTGCGCGGCCGCGCCTCGCTCTTTGGTGAAAGCCGGGCGCGCTCGAACGATATATTACAATTCATGTACATCTACACGATGTCTATAAGTACTATCTTATCATTGGAACGCTGTTATAACACTAACACCCCCCACCCCACCTCCCCGCCTGCGCCTGCCGGATCCGAAGGCCTACTAGATCATGAGTTTTTCAAATACGAACCCGCGAAGTTGATGTATAAATTGAAATCGTGAATGTTTTGTCGAGCGGTGTTTGGCGACCTCCGGCGTCACGGTGCGCGGGGGGAGGGCGCCAGAAATAGAAGTGCGGATTGGAAACGTGCGACGTGGCAACGTCGCGCGCTCGGCCGAGCTCAGTGTCGGTTCAAAATGGCGTCTGTGCGTGATCGATACCGCGGAATTTGCGTTGAAAATGACCGTATTTGTGATGTATCTGGTTGTGAGTCGGCCGGATGGCTACCCTGGCAGCACGGGGCGTTCGCCCCGCACCCGGCGCTGGCTCACGAACCTCTCAGTGTACGTATCTCAACCATATTGCGCCGACACTCTGCCCCCTACATAAATACCTAGGTATGGCTAGGGTACGCTTGCAATCACGATGATCTAGACATCTACAGCATATTCAATATTCGCTATTGAGATATCTTGAACTTTCAGGGTGCACTGTGCCCGATGCCCGAGCTATCGTATGCATTATACGTTGACTGACAGCTTCCCATGGTTATAGTCTAAGATCCCGCTATACAACGACCTTCACCGAGATGTTTATTTGATAAAACATATTTTATATATAATTTTATATGTTAATAAATTTATTGCATATGGGTTGCCTAGCAAATTTCAGTCCAGAGTATGATTAATTAATAATTAAAAAAATATATTTTTTTGAATATTTCACCGGCGTGATTATTGCATAAATTATACATCAATTGAAAGTATGAAGTCCCTAGAATATGCAAACGTTAGGTTGCCTATTGTTTTCCGGTCACAACTCTCGGGTTGCCAGGTATAAATAGGTAGGTTGATATTAGCATTTTGCACCGGTATGATTATTTAATAAAATATAGGTGAAAATAAAGATTATTTTATTACAAACACGATGGTATAGGGTTGCCTACGAAAAATCAGTCCCAAATTCCGGTTGTCGAATTTTAAAAATTAAAATATTGCTGCGAGTCAGTACGTGCGACAGAGAGGTCCCAACCAACTATCCCATGCGATAGAAGAGGGCGCAGCATAGCAGCTGTTTGAAGCCCGCCCATTTAAAGAAAGAGAGTGCGCATGCTATTTGTTGTCGAAAATGAAAAAGATAGCGATAGACGCGTATATACTGTGCATCATTTCGGAGTAATTTATTATTAAAATAGAAGAATAGTTATTTAATTTTTTTTTGCTGCGATTATGCTTTTTGGTATAACTTTGTTATCTTGGATTGATGTATATGTCATTTCAGTTTCCAATTCTTCTGCCAAATTATAACCAATCGTATGGCCATATCTATTAAGTATCGTGATTACTTGCCGAGAGTTGGTTAAAGATTTCATTGCCAGTCCAAGGGTTAAACTTTTTGCGGGCTTACATGTACCCCTAGTGACAGCATAAATAATATCACTACATATTGACGTTATTTTAACTTTCAGTTTGTCCGAATTTTCATCAGAAATATTAGGTCCTTGGATAACATTTCGCATAAAATCAAATAATTGCTCAGGAATGTCACATTCTCCACGAATGATATCATCAGCAGTTACGTTACGAGGAAGCGGATGAGCATCTATATTTTTAATGCAACTTCTCAAATAATATGCAACATTTTCAAACTCATAATCATTTTTTGTCTCCAAAAGTTTGAAATTGTTTGCCATTACAGAAACGTCCATGTCTGTTTTGTACACAATTTTTTTGTTACGTATTGCAGTTGACGCTTCAATTGTAATACGATCACCAAATTTTCTAATTAATTTTTTTTGCAAGGTTTCAGATCGGTAATCTTGTATATCATCGAAATCAATTTCATAATTTCCGAACTCTAACAGTAGAGCTTGGTATCTTAAAAATAATTGAGCCAAGTACATAACTTTGTTGTTTTCTATTATTTCTGTTTCAATGAAATTCGATATTGATTGAAAGGCCAACTGACGTAACTGTCTATATTTACTATAGCTAGAATCAGTAGATTCTTCCATGGACCGCTTCTCTTTTGATTGATACACTGCATAACAAGGCAGATGGTATGCAATAGTTTGATGTTGAAGTTTGGAAAGAATCTCTAAATCTCCAAAATTTTTCGCCATATCTTTTATCTGCTGTGGTACTTTGTCACTACTAGGGAAAGTAAGATTAATCAGCTTCTTCCCACATCTCTTTTGGCTACGATCACAAAACAGACAAATAATTTTGCTTGATGTTGATGCTGTTGATGTTGACTGCTCCTAAAAGAATTAAAAACATTCTTTAAGTAAAAATTAATGAAAAAGAATTTAATTAAAAATAAAAAATCAATTAATATATTTTCATATAATTTTTTAAAAAAGCTTAAAAAAAAAACAAAAATATTTTATTACCTTGTCAAAGTCGCCAAAAATTGAAGACAAGTCTTCAACATTACTCTTTTCATCATCAGCAACTGTAGCACCGGAATCGACAATAGGACTCAACTGTTCTGATTCTTTTTCAGTAGTAGATGCATTGGTATTCTCCTAAAAAAAACGATTTTTACAATTAAATAAAAATGTTTGATATATAAATCTTATAAGCTTTTTGATTTGAATAATTGATTGAAAGTATTCTTATTTAATTATGTTACAAAAAAACGAAAATCAGATCATTTTCTTGTTTAAATTATAAACAACAGTTTTTTAAGTTAATTACAAAAAAAATATATGTGTCGAAAATTAACAAAACCACATATAATAATAAGTAAATTTTACTAACAATTATTTCAACATGAAAAAAATATAGAAGTTGTATTAGCTAAAATAATTTTAAAGATTCAATTATAATGTACTTACTGTATATTCAGCACAAAAATTATCAAATTCATCATTATATTTTTTATTTAAAACGGTCACTTTTTTATAACACATGCTATGGTAACCTAAAAATTCAAGTGACGCACCGGTTAGCTCAACAACACTGTATTTAAAGTTTTTTTTTTTACGAAAAGCTAACTTTAATACACAATTTTTAAAAGTTTCATCATTAAAATCGATTACATCACCATCCGAATCACATAAAAAACACTTTTTTGCCATTTTTATCAAAAATAAATAGTAGCACGTTTTTTCAATTGTAACTACAACAACAATCTACTCCAAAATGACGCACAGTATATAAGCGTCTATCGCTATCTTTTTCATTTTCGACAACAAATAGCATGCGCACTCTCTTTCTTTAAATGGGCGGGCTTCAA